AAACCACCACGTTTCAAACCTATTTACCAAACAGGCTCTTAGTTGTGAGTTAGAGGAGCTTGCTTACAAAGCCAAAACCATCAGCTTTAAATGTTGGGTCAGCCAAGGTGTATTTGGAGCAGTATTTTCTAAGAAAGAGCTTCACGTAAGGAGTCTCATCAAATGCAGCAGCAATACCATCATGTGCACTTGGGTAATTTGAAAATTTTTCGTGGAGTTCTTTTGGAGACTTAAAAACCTTGAGACGAGAATCATTAAAGCCTAAACCTTTTAACATTCCATAGACAAAAGAACCTTCTAAATAACCAACATTATCTCCATTCTTGATCAGTTGGCTAACGTTGGTAACAGTAGCCTGGAGTTGTTGGGATGTCAAGAGTGATGTCAGACTCGCAGTGTAACTTTGTGTCAGAATTAGCACCACGAACACCCATATTGTTATCACAAACCTTGCCAAGTTGCTAATAACTCTCTCCCCTATGAAGGTCACAAGAAAACATTGTTTGGTTTAAAGAGGCATATATACATACTTATTTAATTAAGGATCTTTAACCAAAATTTGTTTCTGTCAGTGTTTATATGAATTTTCAAAAAAGATTTAGCTCTCGAGAAGAGTTTTTAGTCGAAGCTAAAAAATCTAGCTTCTCAAAAAGCTCTACTTAAGTTTTGCATTAAAAAAAAAAGCTCTACTTAAAAAACTTTAAAACTTGTAATAGAACTTTAATAACATTTCATAAATAGAATACGAATATCATTTTTGTCTCATTAAACACTTAAAAAAAATGTGGTCTCAAACACTAAATTAACTGAAAGGTTATAGCTTTTATTTATTTTCCTCAATTGCTAAAAGCAAAAGTAAAATCAAACTTCATTTTGATGAGACTATTTTGCTAGAATGTTGTTAAAGAAACTTACTATGTGCAAAGACCATAGTTGAGAAGGAAAACCAGAAGCTGGTGCCGATTTGGTGCGACGGAGGCCCCCGAAATTCCTCATTTATCCGGTGTTCAAGAATCCAAACGACGAATCCGATGAACACAAAAAAACAAGCAATTGTCACCCAGAGATCCCATGTCAAAGGCTTCAAAAACACCCATGCATTTTTGTTTACTTTATCTTTGACTGGCACTATCATTGACACGCCAGATTCTGTGTATGGCAATGTGAAGTCAACATACAATGATCTATTGGCTCTGATCGTCGTATCTCCCACCGCAGCATCAAAATTCTGTCATACGACAAGGTTTTATATCACATTCAGTTCACCTAATTAATTTCTCATAAATATATATAATATAAATCAAACTATAAAATTTACCTTGAGATAAACTTGATAAACCATATCATCGTAAGTACCATTACTCCCACCACTAGAATTCACAAATGGAATGAACTCATAGTCAACTTTATATGGTAACTCTTCCATTACAGCCTTGAAAATGTCTATGCAATACCCCGTGACATTTGGGGTGTTGTCGGCATTATTTGTGACACGAACAAACTCTGTGAAACCGCCTCTCAATGGAACACCCACTTTCAGTTTCTTCCCATTTGTCGGAATCTCCCATCCTTTGGGATCGCTCTTAGATCCTCCTGGCCATGTAATGTTACCTAAATTGTCTTTGGAAGTATTATACTCCTTGCTAAGTTTTTTTGTTGAACTCAAACTCTTTGCTAGTCCATTTCTTGGCGTCCAAAATCCAACCCTCTTAATTTCCCCATTTACATTAGCAATATTGATTATCTCATAAGTGGAAGAATGTAATTGCCCTTTAACAATCCTAAAGTCTCCAGCAAGGCCCTTAAATGTCACATTTGATAGTGCTTCATGAAGTTGTGTACCATTTTGAGAGACCCCAAATGCGTCAAGGTCAGTTGAGTAATTTCCCTCAACCTTTTGGCCCTTTCTGAAGCCAAACTTGCCACTCTTCCCAACGTATTCAACCGCAATGGCCAACGCCTTAGCCGCGTCATAAGCCCACAATCCAAACACATTCAATTTATCACCTTCAAATCGAGTTTTCCATTTATCTCTGAAATTCTTAAGCCCTTTGGTCTCCGGAACATAAGTCTTTATCCCCAATACCCCACTCATCGTACCGACAACCGAAGGTTCTATTGAACTCAACAAATTGGTCATCCCATTTGTCACAATCCAAACATACCCTTCTCCCATCATTCCGATCTCTCTTGCCTTGGCGAAAGTCCTTGTCCCTAGAGAAACGTTGGTGTGCAAAATGAAAACTCTCGTTTGCATAGTCATCAATTTCTTAAGCTCTTCATCGAGTTCCTTTTCGTCGCCATTCGAAACGACGCTTCTATAAGAGATATGAGCGTCGACTTCAAGCAAAGCGTCAGTCAGAAAGGGAATTAGGCCTTCACCATAATCGTCATTTGTGTAAATGGGAATAACTTGTTTCCATCCAAATGCCTTGACTAAGGAGCTTATGGCCTTCACTTGTGACGCTTCGTTTTGTGTGGCTTGAAAGAAATAGGAACTTCGGATGTTGAGAGAAGGGCTTGTTGCTGAGTATGATATGATCGGTACTCGAGCTTTTTCGCCGAGATCGACGATGAAGTTGGCTTGCATTGATGTTATTGGCCCTATTATGGCCTGTACTTGTACGTTTTTTATGAGGTCTAGAGCTGTGTTGATCATGATAAGAAGAATATAAAGATTATCATAAGCTTTTAATTTATTCTCGGTATTATGCATTATTAAAAAGAACTAAATTAAGCTTTAAAAAGAAAGATTAAGAAACAACATGATTATTTTTTGGTAATATGTAAGTTAGCGCAAAGTTTAAACAAACCAAGACTATGGGAACACAAATGGGACGAACCTATACCCATCATTTCAACTTCATATTTATAAATGATCTAAAAAAAGGTATTCTTAAATAATTCTTGTCATGATCAAACATTTTTAACAATCTTGGACAATAACTAGAAGATAATACTTCTATTATCATATTTATAATTGTTTTGTTAATATTTTACAAACTCACTATCACATTTTTTTTTTTTAAGATTTCAATATTTCATTATTAAGGAAAACATTCTGATTCCAAGGTGTAACATACTAATTCAAAAGGAATGCCAAGTCGTCGACGTCAAAGTTGCAGTCGAAGAATTCTATAGTGTAAACTAAAAGGTGCCATTTTTTTTTGCTAGAATATTGAAAGGTCCCAATTGATCTCATACTATATTGTGATTTTAGTTGACTTGTATTCTTTATCTTGGCTGCTGTTTTACACGGTGAGGAATAACACGATTCTTCTGGATCCACATTCCACAAGTTAGAGCCTCAGAACATTTAGATGACTTTGAAATAGTCTAGGCAAATGAAGTAGACTGCAAAGACTTTTCAACTCTCTTTTTGTTTTTTTGTTTTTTGTTTTTTTTCTCTTCTCTTCGGCAACAAACAAAGACTTTTCAATATTTGACGTTTGACAAGGGAGACACAACATCCATCTCATTATTTGATGCAACGAAATGGGAAAACTCAAGCCAAATTCATGGCTAAGAGGAAAATCCTCTATGGTTTTAATGTATCTCCATATTCAAGTCTAGTTATATACAATATCCAATGTGACTATAACTTATCAAATATCCACTAATACAAAACAACAAGAAACAAATAACAAAAACCAAGCTAAATTGACAAGTTAAGATAAACCACAATACAAATAAAAATAGCGAATGTAATAACGAAAATCTCATGCATCATTATCACTTGGTAAAATAGCAACTTAAGAAACAAGAAATTAAATGAAACCCCATGTTAATTATCTTAGAGAGAGAGAGAGTAATCAGTAATTACCTGCAGAAGCAGCCTCAACAACATCGGAGTCGGAGTCTCTGGTCTGAAGCGCCAACCTTGTGTTGTAATGACTGCGAGATGCGTAGAAGTCCGAGAGCGCCATTTTGATGCACCTCAATCCCATCCTTCCGAACAATTTATCATTGTAGTCCACAACCACGCCCACTTTTACCTTATTTACTTCTATTCTGTTTTGTGCTATCGCCAAATCCGACAAGAATATTATTGGAATTAATCCTAGGAAAACAAAGAGGCTAATAGAAGGGAAGAAGAATATTAAGCGATTCATCTTAACTTTTACACCTTATTTTAAGTAATTTTAGCTTTTCGTCCGCGTATATATATAGCAGAAGTAACCTTACGTATATAATGGGAAAAATTGGTGTACTAGCAGCCATACTACCTAGCCCCGGAAACTTCGTCTATTCCTTCTGATTGACTATGAAATCTACACGTAGCTTTTCTAGTCTTTTTTTTTGAGTCTATGAAACCTTAATCTAATTACACGATTGAGAAGTGATTGATTCTTTTGATAAAGCATACTGAAGTAGAACACGCAAAATTCACTGATAGATCCACTACAAGATATTTCAGGATGATAGATTAATATGTGATTCAAATAAACTGACGGCAAAAATAGTTTTATTGTTTTGTACTGCTTCACATGATAAATTTAACCAATCTTTGACAATATCATAAGATTATTTTATTCCGGTTGTGTTGGAATGAAATGTTGTTTCCATGGTTATAATAATATTCAAAATTAATTTATTTTTCGGTCAATGAAACATGGCAATAAGATCTTCAGAGATGTTTCATGGTAGATACATATTAATTGTCCAGCTCAAAACAATTATGAATGTTGAATTAGAACAATACTTACTGTATGGCTTGAGCAGAAAATAAAAAAAAATAAAAAAATTACTGTATGGTACATATTTATTTTTTGACCATAACATAGCCAAGAGACGACAAAACATGTATAATTGTCACGGTCTCTAATAAGCACGTGAGTAGAATAATTTGACAAATTAGAACCCATATAAGTTCTTAACTTTTTTATTTTTTTTTTATTTTTTTATTTTTTTATCGTTCTTCGTGATACACATGTGACCAAGTTTACATATTATCTACTTGGTACAATTTACTGTGAACAAACAATATTGTTATACAAATTGCAACTCCAATTACTCAAATCCTAAATACAATAAAATGCTAAACGAGGACAACTGGAAATTCTCGTTAATTTGTTGACTATTTCCCCCAAAGTGTGTGATCACCAATAAATTATCGTGTTAATTAAGTTCATCTCTCATAAAAAGAAACTAACATGCTACTCAAATTATAATAAGACGTTCACATAAGAGACTTATCAACTAGATACCTCTAACTGGTAATGGTTATGTTCATGATTAGTAAGTTCAGTAAAACATATTTCATGTTCTTCTCCAGGGAAAGCAAGGACCGATTGTTGATCATCCATGCGATTCGAATCACAAACACTCTCAATAACAACTCTTCCATCACGCGATTCATCGATGCTCTTTCTAAAAGTATGCGAATCCAAATCTTTTTGATCGAAGATTCTCAACACTGTACAAATCCTTCTCCAAATTGGCAGATTTTGATCGGTGTCAGAAGACAATAAGACGCGCCTTTGCTCGTAGAGGAACATCGAGGCGTAAGCTACGAGAGAGGAGAGTGAAGCAGTGCCAACAATGAGGAACAAACCCCAAAAGCTTTCAAGCCCGAGACTGTTGGAAGAGACCTGTGTGTTGGGGTCTGGACAGCTGGTTTGCTTTTCGAACCATTTGTTTTCTATGTTCTTCATGATCTTTTCTTCTGTCACAGTTAAGACCGCCCTCGAAACGTCAGCTACCAGAGGCGACCCTTTTAGAAAGACCTGCGTGCGAGTCGCAGACTGTACATGTTAGTCATATAATTCGCATTTTAGTCCTTAGAGGTTTCATGTTATCTTTTTTTTTTCAATGTTTTTGAACTCTTTTAAAATTCGTCAATCAACATAAAATGACTTTAAGTGAATGTTGATCTTTTATCAAGTATAAAGAGACTTTGAATCAGTTTAAAGACAAATGGATTATATTCTCATATATAGTTTAGTAGTGAATGGTGGTGGAGCCACCTTTTTTAGTGGGGAAGATTTTAAATGTTCAATTTTCATCGTTAAAATTGTTTAAAATTTGAAATATATTTCAATTTCATGTAAATAATATTATAATTATGCTCCCACGTACACAATAATTAAATATATAACTATATGTTTTTATTTAATAAAAGATTATCTATGAGATTTTTCCTATATAGTAACGAAACATGGGAGGAAGGACTTTGAAAATCTCATAGATAATCTCCTTCGTCACTTTAAAAATCTCGGGGGTGACCAATGGAACAGAAAGGACTTTGACTAATTCTATTAAAATAATTGGCACAGTTTCACTCAAACTGCTATATATAAACTCAATGTCGCATAATACATTAGTTGGGCAAGACTCCTAAAGTGGGATTATATTAGAGTGTTGAATTCTAGACACTTTCTGAGAGAAGAAAGAAAGACATCCTTAATGATGCACCAAACACATAATCAATTTTTTTTTATCATATTCTTGTCCTCTATAATGTTATGTTTGACTAACATATTCGAATTTCATGACTTAAAATTGTTAGTAAAACATAACGTATATAAAAAATATACACATCTTGTGAAAGAGTATCATATTGGAGAATTAGAGAAAATGATGAAAACTTACGATGAGCAAAGACCATGGTTGAAAACGAGAACCAGAAGTTGGTGCCAATTTGATGGGAAGGAGGGCCCCTAAAATTATCGTTAATTCGGTGTTCAAGAACCCAAATGACAAAACCAATGAAGACGAAAAAACAAGCGCTTGTCATCCAAAGATCTCACGTTAAAGGCTTTAGAAAAACCCAAGCATTGTTTTTGCTTCGTTTGTCTCCAACTGGCACAATCATTGAGACACCAGATTTTGTGTAGGGCAATGTGAAATCAGCAAACTTTGACTTGTTCGCTCTAATTGTAGTATCCCCGACTACCGCGTCGAACTTCTGTAATGTATGAAACATCCATGAATCAAGTCAACCAAGAAAGTCACTTCTGCTTTATTTGAAAGTGGACAAAATTAGATATAGTATTATGAAAATAAGAAAAAAAAGAAGTTGAATATATCATTATATGTTAAAATGAGACGAGGTTCATAGACGTGAATAAATTAATTAGCGTTGTTAGTCCCTCAGCTATTAGTATTCTATCACTTTAGTCTCAGGATTTGTTTTCTTGGCGGAGTACGTAATCCCTGAACTTTGTGCTTTTTTTTTTTTTTGTGTGGGAATTTTTAGACCTGACATAAAAATTAACATGGATAACCTCATCCTAATCACATATATGAATAGATAAACTAATATATTCTCTTCAACGTTGTTAAAACCAGTACAAAACTAGAACATTTTATATTTAATGAATATATTTCGATAAAACTTTCGGTTATTATGCAATAACCATAGGGACGTGAATCATGTGATTCTCTGTTAAATTTCGTAAACCTTTCTTTAATTTTTAATGTCAGGGACACTTAAAATTATCAAAAGACCAAAATTCATGGACAATGACACAATGCTCATAGTTTCGGAACTAATGATGTTAACAACTCCGCTGTTACATTATCGTGTGAGATTATAAAGAAATGCTTACTACCAATTATTACTATACTCCTATTTTTTGTTTTAAAATAAATAAAAGCTCCTAGTTAGAGAAATTAACAAGGGTAGATAAAGAATAGTAGCCGTACCCCAAGAGACACTTGATAAACCAAATCATCATAAGTACCACCGCTCTCGCCATCAGGCTTTGTGAATGGAATGAACTCATAATCAACATTATAAGGCAATGCCTTCATCGCAGCTTCAAAGACATCTATGCAGTATCCTGTGACAATGGTTTCATTAGTGACAGAATCATGTTTTACCTGCACAAACTCTTCGAAACCTTCCTTCTTCAGCACACCGATTTTCAACTTTTTCCTGTTTGTCGGAATCTCCCATCCCTTTGGAACAGCGGTAGATTCTTCCGGCCATATGATTTGTCCTAAATTAGGGATGGAGGACATTATACCTGTTCTTGTGTTTGTTTCCTAAATTAGGCCATATGTGTATTAAAAAGTAAGAGGAATCGGGGATGATTTTTGTGGTTTCTTTCCAATGTATGCGTGTAGTGCTTTGCATTCTCGTACATACATACACAGTCGGGGACTTTTATCGTTTAGTGTGTATTAATGAAATTCTTCAATTAGTTCCCCCCAAGTCAATCTAACCTTTAATAATGTGAATGCATTTCCAATTGCAATGTGCTTTGATATTTTTCCTTTCTTTTTCGGTTTGCAATGTATTAATGATTGAGATGGAAATTGGAATGAATATCAGGGATGGGATTCGTTTTTTATGCCTAAAAACGCAAAAAAAAAAAAAAAAGAAAAAAAAAAAAGCTAAGGGTTATAGAGAGAGAATATACTATTAGGGCAAATGTTTGAACCATTTTTATCGATATTTTTTTTTAATGAAAATTCTTTAATACGTTAGTGTATTATTGATATCTTTTATGAAAATTCTCTAATACGTTAGTGTACCGACATGCGACATGTCAAATTTTTTTAACTATTAAATCTTAAATAGATACGATCACATGAAGCTAATTCTGTAAAGAGATACGATCATACAAAATAATTCTCGATCATACAAAGCACCATCGGTGTTAAGCACTATCACTAATAAAAATGAGCCTCACTTATAGATCTCATATTATAAGATTTATTTTTATTAGTGGATGGTGTTTAACATCACCAGTATACAATGCTCTTTTCATCAAGACATAAAATGGTGAATGTCTTTTTTAAGTGTGGTTAGCCCTTGGCTGAGCCTTTTGAGTAATGCATTGATCATGTATGACATCAACTAATTGATTATAGTGCTTGATATTTGATGGTGTGGAAAATGCTGACCAGCGTGCATTTTGCCATCTTTTAGATTGGGAAACAACAAAGCTTAGTGCTTTGTTTAGCATCAATTAAGAAAAGAAAGGTACATCTTAATCATAGACGAGCTTTACAAGGTCCCTCAATTTGTTTAGGGGCCCAAAATGCGACATTCTATAGGACCTATAGGCTGCACATTTGCATAGCTTAAACCCTCACCTATGTTTATTAACTTAGTAAAATATTTGGAGTTAAATCCAATATTTCAGTCATGAAAAAGAAATAACTAAAAATAAAGCGTAAAAATAGAAGAGAAACGATTCTATTACCAAACTGTGAGAATGGAAGGACGGTGAGTTTTTTTTTTTTAAAACGTCTTTATTTAGTATCATATGAAGCTAGTTCTGTAAAGAGATACGATCATATAAAATAGTTTTGAGTACTGAGAACTAACTTCGTGGGTCCATTATATATCTCTTGCAGGGCCTCACATCTTTTTGTTTCTTCTACAACACTAAATGTTCTGTTATCAAACAGAAAGTATGGATATGAAATGATGGGAATTGGAAAGGAATCCAACTCATACACCTTGAGCTAAAATGATGCTTAATCAATGAACTCTTGCAGGCTGCAGCATATGAAACGTATTTCTGACACACACATACTAGAACTAAATCACTAAATACAAATTCCCAATAGACTCAAATACTAATACCAAATCTAGCTTGATTCCGTGATTTGCTATTGCTAATCACACAGAACCAAAATTCTCCAAAAAGCAAGATGTTATTCATACAAGTTTCTTTCATTTTACTAAGAAAAATCCAACTAAAGGAATTCAACAAGGTCGTTATTTTTAATTTCTCTTCTTTTTCAATGGTCCCTCAAGCTTGTGAGAATGCAATTTTACGTACAGTTGTTTCACAGAAACCTGACTAGCCAGATTTACACAATATTTAGTTGGTGAAATGATTGGTGCATGTGTTGCTAAGCGGAATAATGGGATCCAAGTTGGTGAAGAATATAATGTTGGTTCGTTTTCTTTATCCATTTATAGCGATTTCCCAATCGTAATTACTAAAAGCGGGACAACTCTATTTACTACCCACCACATGGGCTGCTCTGCTTTCTGTCTGCTCCATTTTTAAGTACTACCAAGCACCATTGAGCAGCCATAGGAGGCTATTTTCGACATCTGGGCCACTACAAAGCCCAATAATGAATAACCCATTCATCTTTTAAGTGGTTATGTCAAAATTGCATCCCTAAATATAGGGGTGGGAGTTGAAAACATAACGGCCGTGTTTAGAATTGATCTCATTTTTATTTTTTTATGTTTTTTGAGAAATAAAAAATGAAAATATTTTTAAAACAGCGTTTGTCACAATAAAGACAAAAAACGGAAATGAAAACGATTTTTAGTTTAGAGTAAAATGAGAGAAAAATAAAAAATGACTTTTAGTCGTTTTTCATTTTTTGTTTTCATTTTCTCCTCTCTCGAGTAGAGAGAGAGACATTAATGAGTTTTTTTATACTGAAAATAATCTCTTGATAAAACTACCCAAATTAACAAAAACATGATGGCCGTGTACATAAGTCTCTCTATCTCTCTCTTAACTAGAACATTAGTCTAATTAGCCACTTGTTTATTTTAGATTAAACCACAAATTCTAAAATGATCTCAAAATATCCTAGAGAAAACATATTTATAGTAAACTAGTAATCCACTTTTGAGTAAAACAATGGTTTAAAGGAGGAAAAAAAGAACTCCCTCCACACAAACACATAATTAAAGTAAACCAACGGTACACTATTGAGTAAACCAGTCGTTTAAAGAAGGGAAAAAAAATTGAGAATAGAAAATCATTTTGGTTCTACATCAATTGTTTTTCAATTTGGGATATTTCAGGAGCTGTTAGTACCCCTTGCCTCGTGGTTTTGAGCATCAGAAAACTGATCAGTAGCAGAAGATGATTGATCCGAATTCCCATGATGTGCAGGAGATGATTCTTGCTCCGAGAACACTACAAAGTTAAAATCTGTGTGGTCTGAATAACTTGATGGGCTAATTGGATGACTATTAGTATTTGAAATGGCCTCAAGAGGAACAACACCGTGAACGTTGCCATTTGTTTGTCCATGAGCCGCTTGTGTAGAGCTCTTTCTAAAAGTGTGTGAACTCAAGTCCTTTTGATCAAACACTTTACATATCACATGAAATCTCTTCCACATTGAGGCTTCAGCTGGAGTAGAGCTCACGATCACGTCTCTTTGTCCATGAAAGAATATAACAACATTTATTGCCAAAGCACACAATGATGAAACCCCAGCAATGAGGAAAAGTCCCCAAAAGCTCTCAAGACCAAGACTACTGTTGGAAGAGCCTTGTGTACTGCTGGGGTCTGGACAGCTTGTCTTTGTCCCAAAATATTTGGCCTCTATTTTCTTCAGTTTCTCGCCCTCGGTCACGTTTAGTATTGCCCTCGATACGTCGGGAACGAGAGGAGAGCCTCTTGGAAAAACCTGTGAATCAAGTATTGGATAATGACAAAAGTGATTTTATATGTGAAAAAGAAGGAAATATTTAGAGCCCGTTTGCTAAACAGTTCAAACCACCATATTTCAAACTTCCAATTTCAAACCATTAAAGTCCAAACCACCACGTTTCAAACCTATTTACCAAACAGGCTCTTAGTTGTGAGTTAGAGGAGCTTGCTTACAAAGCCAAAACCATCAGCTTTAAATGTTGGGTCAGCCAAGGTGTATTTGGAGCAGTATTTTCTAAGAAAGAGCTTCACGTAAGGAGTCTCATCAAATGCAGCAGCAATACCATCATGTGCACTTGGGTAATTTGAAAATTTTTCGTGGAGTTCTTTTGGAGACTTAAAAACCTTGAGACGAGAATCATTAAAGCCTAAACCTTTTAACATTCCATAGACAAAAGAACCTTCTAAATAACCAACATTATCTCCATTCTTGATCAGTTGGCTAACGTTGGTAACAGTAGCCTGGAGTTGTTGGGATGTCAAGAGTGATGTCAGACTCGCAGTGTAACTTTGTGTCAGAATTAGCACCACGAACACCCATATTGTTATCACAAACCTTGCCAAGTTGCTAATAACTCTCTCCCCTATGAAGGTCACAAGAAAACATTGTTTGGTTTAAAGAGGCATATATACATACTTATTTAATTAAGGATCTTTAACCAAAATTTGTTTCTGTCAGTGTTTATATGAATTTTCAAAAAAGATTTAGCTCTCGAGAAGAGTTTTTAGTCGAAGCTAAAAAATCTAGCTTCTCAAAAAGCTCTACTTAAGTTTTGCATTAAAAAAAAAAGCTCTACTTAAAAAACTTTAAAACTTGTAATAGAACTTTAATAACATTTCATAAATAGAATACGAATATCATTTTTGTCTCATTAAACACTTAAAAAAAATGTGGTCTCAAACACTAAATTAACTGAAAGGTTATAGCTTTTATTTATTTTCCTCAATTGCTAAAAGCAAAAGTAAAATCAAACTTCATTTTGATGAGACTATTTTGCTAGAATGTTGTTAAAGAAACTTACTATGTGCAAAGACCATAGTTGAGAAGGAAAACCAGAAGCTGGTGCCGATTTGGTGCGACGGAGGCCCCCGAAATTCCTCATTTATCCGGTGTTCAAGAATCCAAACGACGAATCCGATGAACACAAAAAAACAAGCAATTGTCACCCAGAGATCCCATGTCAAAGGCTTCAAAAACACCCATGCATTTTTGTTTACTTTATCTTTGACTGGCACTATCATTGACACGCCAGATTCTGTGTATGGCAATGTGAAGTCAACATACAATGATCTATTGGCTCTGATCGTCGTATCTCCCACCGCAGCATCAAAATTCTGTCATACGACAAGGTTTTATATCACATTCAGTTCACCTAATTAATTTCTCATAAATATATATAATATAAATCAAACTATAAAATTTACCTTGAGATAAACTTGATAAACCATATCATCGTAAGTACCATTACTCCCACCACTAGAATTCACAAATGGAATGAACTCATAGTCAACTTTATATGGTAACTCTTCCATTACAGCCTTGAAAATGTCTATGCAATACCCCGTGACATTTGGGGTGTTGTCGGCATTATTTGTGACACGAACAAACTCTGTGAAACCGCCTCTCAATGGAACACCCACTTTCAGTTTCTTCCCATTTGTCGGAATCTCCCATCCTTTGGGATCGCTCTTAGATCCTCCTGGCCATGTAATGTTACCTAAATTGTCTTTGGAAGTATTATACTCCTTGCTAAGTTTTTTTGTTGAACTCAAACTCTTTGCTAGTCCATTTCTTGGCGTCCAAAATCCAACCCTCTTAATTTCCCCATTTACATTAGCAATATTGATTATCTCATAAGTGGAAGAATGTAATTGCCCTTTAACAATCCTAAAGTCTCCAGCAAGGCCCTTAAATGTCACATTTGATAGTGCTTCATGAAGTTGTGTACCATTTTGAGAGACCCCAAATGCGTCAAGGTCAGTTGAGTAATTTCCCTCAACCTTTTGGCCCTTTCTGAAGCCAAACTTGCCACTCTTCCCAACGTATTCAACCGCAATGGCCAACGCCTTAGCCGCGTCATAAGCCCACAATCCAAACACATTCAATTTATCACCTTCAAATCGAGTTTTCCATTTATCTCTGAAATTCTTAAGCCCTTTGGTCTCCGGAACATAAGTCTTTATCCCCAATACCCCACTCATCGTACCGACAACCGAAGGTTCTATTGAACTCAACAAATTGGTCATCCCATTTGTCACAATCCAAACATACCCTTCTCCCATCATTCCGATCTCTCTTGCCTTGGCGAAAGTCCTTGTCCCTAGAGAAACGTTGGTGTGCAAAATGAAAACTCTCGTTTGCATAGTCATCAATTTCTTAAGCTCTTCATCGAGTTCCTTTTCGTCGCCATTCGAAACGACGCTTCTATAAGAGATATGAGCGTCGACTTCAAGCAAAGCGTCAGTCAGAAAGGGAATTAGGCCTTCACCATAATCGTCATTTGTGTAAATGGGAATAACTTGTTTCCATCCAAATGCCTTGACTAAGGAGCTTATGGCCTTCACTTGTGACGCTTCGTTTTGTGTGGCTTGAAAGAAATAGGAACTTCGGATGTTGAGAGAAGGGCTTGTTGCTGAGTATGATATGATCGGTACTCGAGCTTTTTCGCCGAGATCGACGATGAAGTTGGCTTGCATTGATGTTATTGGCCCTATTATGGCCTGTACTTGTACGTTTTTTATGAGGTCTAGAGCTGTGTTGATCATGATAAGAAGAATATAAAGATTATCATAAGCTTTTAATTTATTCTCGGTATTATGCATTATTAAAAAGAACTAAATTAAGCTTTAAAAAGAAAGATTAAGAAACAACATGATTATTTTTTGGTAATATGTAAGTTAGCGCAAAGTTTAAACAAACCAAGACTATGGGAACACAAATGGGACGAACCTATACCCATCATTTCAACTTCATATTTATAAATGATCTAAAAAAAGGTATTCTTAAATAATTCTTGTCATGATCAAACATTTTTAACAATCTTGGACAATAACTAGAAGATAATACTTCTATTATCATATTTATAATTGTTTTGTTAATATTTTACAAACTCACTATCACATTTTTTTTTTTTAAGATTTCAATATTTCATTATTAAGGAAAACATTCTGATTCCAAGGTGTAACATACTAATTCAAAAGGAATGCCAAGTCGTCGACGTCAAAGTTGCAGTCGAAGAATTCTATAGTGTAAACTAAAAGGTGCCATTTTTTTTTGCTAGAATATTGAAAGGTCCCAATTGATCTCATACTATATTGTGATTTTAGTTGACTTGTATTCTTTATCTTGGCTGCTGTTTTACACGGTGAGGAATAACACGATTCTTCTGGATCCACATTCCACAAGTTAGAGCCTCAGAACATTTAGATGACTTTGAAATAGTCTAGGCAAATGAAGTAGACTGCAAAGACTTTTCAACTCTCTTTTTGTTTTTTTGTTTTTTGTTTTTTTTCTCTTCTCTTCGGCAACAAACAAAGACTTTTCAATATTTGACGTTTGACAAGGGAGACACAACATCCATCTCATTATTTGATGCAACGAAATGGGAAAACTCAAGCCAAATTCATGGCTAAGAGGAAAATCCTCTATGGTTTTAATGTATCTCCATATTCAAGTCTAGTTATATACAATATCCAATGTGACTATAACTTATCAAATATCCACTAATACAAAACAACAAGAAACAAATAACAAAAACCAAGCTAAATTGACAAGTTAAGATAAACCACAATACAAATAAAAATAGCGAATGTAATAACGAAAATCTCATGCATCATTATCACTTGGTAAAATAGCAACTTAAGAAACAAGAAATTAAATGAAACCCCATGTTAATTATCTTAGAGAGAGAGAGAGTAATCAGTAATTACCTGCAGAAGCAGCCTCAACAACATCGGAGTCGGAGTCTCTGGTCTGAAGCGCCAACCTTGTGTTGTAATGACTGCGAGATGCGTAGAAGTCCGAGAGCGCCATTTTGATGCACCTCAATCCCATCCTTCCGAACAATTTATCATTGTAGTCCACAACCACGCCCACTTTTACCTTATTTACTTCTATTCTGTTTTGTGCTATCGCCAAATCCGACAAGAATATTATTGGAATTAATCCTAGGAAAACAAAGAGGCTAATAGAAGGGAAGAAGAATATTAAGCGATTCATCTTAACTTTTACACCTTATTTTAAGTAATTTTAGCTTTTCGTCCGCGTATATATATAGCAGAAGTAACCTTACGTATATAATGGGAAAAATTGGTGTACTAGCAGCCATACTACCTAGCCCCGGAAACTTCGTCTATTCCTTCTGATTGACTATGAAATCTACACGTAGCTTTTCTAGTCTTTTTTTTTGAGTCTATGAAACCTTAATCTAATTACACGATTGAGAAGTGATTGATTCTTTTGATAAAGCATACTGAAGTAGAACACGCAAAATTCACTGATAGATCCACTACAAGATATTTCAGGATGATAGATTAATATGTGATTCAAATAAACTGACGGCAAAAATAGTTTTATTGTTTTGTACTGCTTCACATGATAAATTTAACCAATCTTTGACAATATCATAAGATTATTTTATTCCGGTTGTGTTGGAATGAAATGTTGTTTCCATGGTTATAATAATATTCAAAATTAATTTATTTTTCGGTCAATGAAACATGGCAATAAGATCTTCAGAGATGTTTCATGGTAGATACATATTAATTGTCCAGCTCAAAACAATTATGAATGTTGAATTAGAACAATACTTACTGTATGGCTTGAGCAGAAAATAAAAAAAAATAAAAAAATTACTGTATGGTACATATTTATTTTTTGACCATAACATAGCCAAGAGACGACAAAACATGTATAATTGTCACGGTCTCTAATAAGCACGTGAGTAGAATAATTTGACAAATTAGAACCCATATAAGTTCTTAACTTTTTTATTTTTTTTTATTTTTTTATTTTTTTATCGTTCTTCGTGATACACATGTGACCAAGTTTACATATTATCTACTTGGTACAATTTACTGTGAACAAACAATATTGTTATACAAATTGCAACTCCAATTACTCAAATCCTAAATACAATAAAATGCTAAACGAGGACAACTGGAAATTCTCGTTAATTTGTTGACTATTTCCCCCAAAGTGTGTGATCACCAATAAATTATCGTGTTAATTAAGTTCATCTCTCATAAAAAGAAACTAACATGCTACTCAAATTATAATAAGACGTTCACATAAGAGACTTATCAACTAGATACCTCTAACTGGTAATGGTTATGTTCATGATTAGTAAGTTCAGTAAAACATATTTCATGTTCTTCTCCAGGGAAAGCAAGGACCGATTGTTGATCATCCATGCGATTCGAATCACAAACACTCTCAATAACAACTCTTCCATCACGCGATTCATCGATGCTCTTTCTAAAAGTATGCGAATCTAAATCTTTTTGATCGAAGATTCTCAACACTGTACAAATCCTTCTCCAAATTGGCAGATTTTGATCGGTCTCAGAAGACAATAAGACGCGCCTTTGCTTGTAGAGGAACATCGAGGCGTAAGCTACGAGAGAGGAGAGTGAAGCAGTGCCAACAATGAGGAACAAACCCCAAAAGCTTTCAAGCCCGAGACTGTTGGAAGAGACCTGTGTGTTGGGGTCTGGACAGCTGGTTTGCTTTTCGAACCATTTGTTTTCTATGTTCTTCATGATCTTTTCTTCTGTCACAGTTAAGATCGCCCTCGAAACGTCAGCTACCAGAGGCGACCCTTTTGGAAAGACCTGCGTGCGAGTCGCAGACTGTACATGTTAGTTTACTTCCATTATTTATGATCAGAAACAAATGTACTTGAAAGAGTGGTAACTGTTTAGGACTTACAAAGCCAAATCCAGCGGCTTTGAAAGTTGGTTCAACCATGGTGTACTTGGAGCAGTATTTGGTGAGGAGGAACTTCATGTAGACGAATTCGTCAAAGGCAGCGGCTATACCACCGTTAGATTTTTTCTTTGAGAATAGGTCATCACACTGTTCAGGGGACTTGTAAATCTTGAGTTGAGAATCACTAAAGCCTAGATCTTTCAGAATTCCGCGGACGAAGGAACCGTCGATGTAGCCGACGTTGTCTCCGTTCACGAGGAGCTGCCGTACATCGGTGACCGTTGGCTGGAGTTGTTGGACGGTAAGGAGTGATGTTAAACTAGCTGTGTAACTTTGAGTCAATATTAGCACCACAAACATCCATATGATCACCACAAACCTTGCCAAGTTGCTAACAACTTTTTCCCCTGTAAATAAAGTTCAAAAGAAGAAGGAAAAGGGAAAGAACATGTTACACTTTATCAGTTTCCTTAGAAATTTTTAGCAAGACAATGGACCACACCTTTTCTCTAGTACTAACTGGTTGCGGTTTTCCAAATTCGCCGCAATTTTGAGGACTAATTTCAAACACAGAAAATTTATGTACTACTACGGGCACCTTATTTGTGTCTCTTTTTTTTTTTTTTTTTTTTTTTTTTTTTTAACCAAATGGGGGTTGTGTGTCACGTTATTTTGGATCTCTAATTGAGTATAATAGACTTATCGAATTAACTATATTGGTTGTACTATGACTTATTCTTTTCTAAAAGAAAAAAAAAATTATTGGTATCATCCTATCCCTTATCTCCTTCATCACTTTGGAAATCTCGGGAGTCACTAATGGAATAGAAAGGACTTTGACCAATTCTGCTAAAATAATTGGCACAGTTTCACTCAAACTGTTATAAACTCAATGTCGCATAATACATTAGTCGGGCAAGACTCCTAAAGTGGGATTATATTAGAGTGTTAAATTCTAAACACTTTTTGAGAGAAGAAAGAAAGACATCTTTAACGATGCACCAACACATAATCAATTTTTTATCAGATCTTTGTCCTCTATAATGTTATGTTTGACTAACATATTCGAATTTCATGACTTAATATGTTAGTAAAAAATAACGTATATAAAAAATATACACATCTTATGAAAGAGTATCATATTGGAGAATTAGAGAAAATGATGAAAACTTACGATGAGCAAAGACCATGGTTGAAAACGAGAACCAGAAGCTGGTGCCAATTTGATGGAAAGGAGGGCCCCTAAAATCATCGTTAATTCGGTGTTCAAGAATCCAAACGACAAAACCAATGAAGACGAAAAAACAAGCGCTTGTCATCCAGAGATCCCACGTTAAAGGCTTTAGAAAAACCCAAGCATTGCTTTTGCTTCGTTTGTCTCCAACTGGCACAATCATTGAGACACCAGATTGTGTGTAGGGCAATGTGAAATCAACAAACTTTGACCTGTTCGCTCTAATTGTAGTATCCCCGACTACCGCGTCGAACTTCTGTAATGTATGAAACATCCACGAATCAAGTCAACCAAGAAAGTCACTGCTGCTTTATTTGAAAGTGGACAAAATTAGATATAGTATTATGAAAATAAGAAAAAAGAAGAAGTTGAATATATCACTGTATGTTAAAATGAGATGAGGTTCATAGATGTGAATAAATTAATTAGCGTTGTTAGTCCCTCAGCTATTAGTATTCTATCACTTTAGTCTCAGAATTTGTTTTCTTGGCGGAGTACGTAATCCCTGAACTTTGGCTTTTTTTTTTTTTTTGGGAATTTTTAGACCTGACATAAAAATTAACATCTTCTAAAATTTAACATGGATAACCTCATCCTAATCACATATATGAATAGATAAACTAATATATTCTCTTCAACGTTGTTAAAACCAGTACAAACTAGAACATTTTGTATTTAATGAATATATTTCGATAAAACTTTCGGTTATTATGCAATAACCATCAAGGATGTGAATTCTCTGATAAATTTCGTAAACTAATGATGTTAACAACTCCGCTGTTACATTATCGTGTGAGAATATTATAAAGAAATGCTTACTACCAATTATTACTATACTCCTATTTTTTGTTTTAAAATAAATAAAAGCTCCTAGTTAGAGAAATTAACAAGGGTAGATAAAGAATAGTAGCCGTACCCCAAGAGACACTTGATAAACCAAATCATCATAAGTACCACCGCTCTCGCCATCAGGCTTTGTGAATGGAATGAGCTCATAATCAACATTGTAAGGCAATGCTTTCATCGCAGCTTCAAAGACATCTATGCAGTATCCTGTGACAATGGTTTCATTAGTGACAGAATCGTGTTTTACCTGCACAAACTCTTCGAAACCTTCCTTCTTCGGCACACCGATTTTCAACTTTTTCCTGTTTGTCGGAATCTCCCATCCCTTTGGAACAGCGGTAGATTCTCCCGGCCATATGATTTGTCCTAAATTAGGGATGGAGGACATTATACCTGTTCTTGTGTTTGTTGACATTATACCTGTTCTTGTGTTTGTTTCCAATAAACTCTTCGCTAGCCCACTTTGAGGTGTCCAAAATCCTATCCGTTTTTCACCATTACTCTTAACGTTGATTATCTCAAAACTGGTTGATTGTAATTGCGCATTAGGCATACTAAAATTCCCTGCCAAGCCATTGAATCGCACACCTAATAGTGCTTTCCGCAAATTTGGACCATTTTGAGAGACCCCAAATGTTTCAAGATCTGTTGAGTACTTCCTTGAAACATCACTTGTCTTCTTGAAGCTAAAATTCCCACTTTTCCAAGCCTCTTCAACCGCAACGGCTAGCGCCGTTACAGCATCATAAGCCCACAATCCGTACACATTTAGTTCAAAATCGTAGAGTTTAGGATTCTCTAGCTGAAATTCCTTTTCCCATCGAGTTCTAAATTCTCTAAGCCTGTTTGTATCACGAACGTATGTTTTTATGCCTAACACCCCTTGCATTGATTCGACAACTGAAGAATCCAACGAACTCAAATAATTGGTCATCAAATTTGTAACAATCCAAACATAGCCTTTTTCCATCATTCCAATCTCCTTTGCCTTGTTGAAAATCCGGGACCCCAAAGAAACATCCGTGTGAACGACAAACACCCTTGTTTGCATTGTCATCAGCTTGTAAAGCTCTTTGGCAATCTGGTCATCCGAAGCCGACGAAGAAATGGCACTCCGGTATGAAACATGAGCACCGGCGTCTTGCAAAGCATCGACGAGAAAAGGTATAAGCCCTTCTCCGTATGCATTGTCTACATAAATGGGCACCACTTGTTTCCATCCAAATTTTTTAACGATCGAACTTATGGCATTCACTTGAAATGTTTGATTTTGGGTAGCTTGGAAGAAATATGAACTGTGAATGCTAAGAGAAGAGCTTGTTGCCGAATATGATACGATGGGGACTTGAGCTTTTTCACCTAGATTAATCACGAAGCTCGCCTGAGTTGATGATACTGGCCCTATAATGGCTTTGACTTCTACATTTTTAATGAGGTCTAAAGCTGTTATACAAAAGAAAGATCCCAGATTATTAGAAGAAAATTATAGTTGTCTTTGATTGGAAGACGAAGATAATTTTGCCTAGATCAGAAGATATAAACCTTTAGGATCGAAGAAAAAATTGTCAGAAAAATAGATTTTTAGGTTTGTCTTCAAGAAAGACAGATTTTACAAACATTAATAAATTGAGGAGTATATAACAACTAATACCGCTTTTACTATATGTGCTAATGACTATGAAAAGTGTATAATAATAAATAGTTAATCACATGAATATATTTATATATATATATATATTTGTTTTTTTTTACACATTTTAAGTCACTATTGCATAAGAGGAATGTTATGTTTAACTCTGCAAACCCAGTTATTCGTAAAATATTGGCATCCAATTTTTGCGTGCCATCTATAAGGCTATAATGCAGCCTGCCATTTAATTAATTTGTATATTATGGTCACAAACTGTTCACGTCACAAGTATTTAAATCACATGTATATTGGCAGGCAACCCCTAACACAAAAGTATAAAAACGTCTAAAAGAAGAGGTAAAGAAGTTAAAAGAAAAACTGCAAGCAAACAAATTGAAAGTTCTACATAAGAGCAATATCAAATCTTTATATTAATGTAAAAATTTAATATTTCGAAAAGAAAATCACTCATTAATGCAATGATATACTTACTATCAAATTTGGCACAGTTATTGATTTATGTGTTAGTTTTTTTTTTTACTTAATAATTATAACATTTTCAATTTTAATTTATTTTAAAATTAAAAACTCTTCACAAACTCTGGCCGTCATAATTCTAGAGAGAGGTGCTCTGCAACAAGCTTAGAGGGGGAGTTCTCTGGGGTCTCTGGTCTGGCTATTCATCAGGCTGCCGGCCTTTAAAGTTCGTCAGAGAGATCGCAGAGGTCACTAGCGTCGGGTTTGTGCTGACAGAAGTGTGGATAGCTACCGAAATGGAGTTGTTCAAGGGGAAGCAATTTCTGATATTCTACCTTAGATATAGGACGCACTCGCCACGAGATTCTGTTAAACTCTAGGAATTAGATTGTGAAAAGGAGGCGAGAAATGTGGTCTAGAGCGTGTGGCAATTGTCGCTTATTGGCGGCAGCACGTGAGTCCCGCGTGCCACCGTGTCTCCGGTGCTTTTGTCACCTTTTCAAGAGCTTTTCTCTAGTACCATTCCTACTGTATTTCACATACCTCCGGCATTGAGAGATTCGATTTTACTGGTTTGATTTCTTAGGATCTTTTTAGAGTTTTTTCTATTTTATAGTTTTATTTGTGTTGTAATAACAGTGATGGTATCCCCATCAACTGGCATTAGGTGTTGGCTAGAGGGTGGTCTCCCCACAGCTCTAAGTTTGAGTTATGTAATACATTTTGAGACTGAGATGTGGTTTATCTGAAATCGTTTCAAAATGGTCAAACCCTATTATAGTGCCACTAGTTAGAAGAATTCTATCTGTTATTAAGTGAGGGATGCGTTTCTATTATCTAGTCATGTGAGTAGCATTTGGTTCTTAACTCTGGTTTTGTCCTGTATCTTAGTTATTTAGTGGATTTTTAATGAAGGTATGTTATTGCATTTCAAAAATAAATAAATAACTAAGGTAAAAAATGTTAATTGCAGGTAAAAATATTCACATCAGAGACGTGAATGAAGAGATATGTGAGTCGTTTCCTTGAAAATGGGTGTCTGGCTGTCTGCTACAGCGGGATAGTTACGTGAGTGTCTACAACCGCAAATTAAGACGCGGATAGATCAATGGCCTTGAATCTTGACGAGCAAATATTGGAAAGCTACAAAAGACTGTTTCTTCATTGACTTAGGACCAGAGATGAATAATCAATCAAATTTATGTCCTAAAAGTAGACAATTTATTTAAAAAAAAAAAAGAAAAGAAAAGAAAAAAGTGCAGAAGAAGGCGATAGAAATATATAGTACCAGCAGAAGCCGCTCCAACTACATCGGACTTGGAGTCTCTGGTGTGAATGACCAACCTTGTGTTGTAGTAATAACCGTGAGAAGCATAGAATTCAGAAACCGCCATTTCAATGCAACTCAGCCCCATCTTCCCAACCCATGTCTCGCTGTCCACAACCACACCCACGCTCACATAATTTACTTCTTTTGAGAACACGCTTCTTAAAAACACAAACAACAATACAAGAGAAATAGTTGTGACCCTCATCGTTGGTCTCTGACTCTTCATGTTTTGGCGCTTGGAAATTCATATGTTGTGATAAGCGGACACTATAAGAGAGGAGGAAGGTCTTTTGTTAGTCAATATATAGCGGTCAGATTTGGAGAATAAGTAAAAAGACAAAAATCATCGGAGGGAGAAAACTCAACTCGGCAGCAGTATCTTCTTACTTCGGGGAACCGCTTTGTAGCTGCCACGTCAGTGTTTTGTGGGGCTATAAACTGCCATACAACTGAAGTTGGGTCCACTTTGGATTCCATAATGCTGCTAGCAGACTGGCACTTTGGAAACGTTATCTGTTCCTTGGGGGAATAAATAAGAGATATATAAGCCCATTTATCTTGTTAATTTAAATTTTTAATTTAAATTTAAATGTAATTTTATGTAAAAAAATTTTATTATAATAAAAAAATTAAATGTGATTATTTTTAAAAATTTTTAGCGTAGTGAAATAAGCAGAGGCAGAGGCATATGAGATTTTAAGAAGGGGGCATTTCCACAAGTGTTCATCAACTTTAGATTTTTTATTATTTTGCTTTCAAGAATAACCTTCAACGGTTCAGCGATTTTTTCTTTTCTTTTCTTTTTTTTTTTTAAAAAAAAAATCTTCAGTAGGTAGTCAAAACATAAATGCTGATATATTACGTAGAAGCTTGGTATTCGAATATATATCACTAACGTGAAAATTTAAACTTCCATTCCGACTTCAGAAGAAAAAAAAAAAGGCCGTCAATTCCACACAGAAATGATAGGGTTACGAAGGGGCAATTATGTACTTTCCAAAGTTGTAAAATTAGCCTGAAGTTTGGGCCGTGTCCAACTCCCTACTTGTCCAAATAAAGTGGCCATGGTCCATGAGTCCATGTAAGCCGAGGGCCCAAACATTTGGGAAGAGGATATCTTCGTCATTTTGTAAAAAAACGGTATAAAGTAGCCGTCACATATAAAATATGGAGAAACTCGTCTCTTTCTGGCTTTAGGGTTTGTGTTGGCTGCTCTCGGAGAAAAGCTTTGAAGCACAGAAAGCCCTATCTCCATCACTGCCACTATGGGTCGTATGCACAGCCGCGGGTAAAAAAACTTCAATTTTGCCCACCCATATATATATATAAATATATATATATATATCTATTGTATATTTGTATATATAGCTTAATGAGTATGTAATTTTCTATTTGCTTGCAGTAAGGGTATCTCCGCCTCAGCCCTGCCGTACAAGAGGACTCCGCCGAGTTGGCTCAAGATCTCTTCTCAAGATGTAAGCTAATTATCGCGTAATTGATCGTGTTTATTTGAGTGTTTAGCATTGATTCATTTGGATTGATTTGATTAGCATTTCTTGGTTGTTTTAGGTTGATGAGAACATTTGCAAGTTCGCAAAGAAGGGTCTTACGCCGTCGCAGATCGGTGTGATTCTTCGTGACTCTCACGGTATTGCTCAGGTCAAGAGTGTCACCGGAAGCAAGATCTTGCGTATTCTCAAGGCTCACGGTATTTTTGTGTTTTCAAATTTGTTGATTTTATTTTTGTCTAATTAGGTTAAATCCTCTTCAAAATTTGAGTTCATTAGCACAGAACTTGGAATTAGTAATTGTTATCCAATGTTTAGCCTTTAGGTAAGCAGTGTGTGTGTGTGTATATATATATATATATAGACACACACACAAACACACATATTCATCTTTTCAATTTGGATTAAAAATGTGGTTGATATAATTGTTGGTTTCTTTCTTCTTATTGATAGGAAATGTGTTTGGGATTGTAGCTTTTGCTCTTGCAGATTCTTGTGTTTTGTGTTTTGGTTATGTTTTTTGTTTTTTTGTGTGGTTATCAATTCAAGTTCTCGTTGTTAGGTCTTGCTCCTGAAATTCCCGAGGATCTGTACCATCTTATCAAGAAGGCGGTGTCAATTAGGAAGCATTTGGAGAGGAACAGGAAGGATAAGGATTCCAAGTTCAGGTTGATTTTGGTCGAGAGCAGGATACACAGGCTTGCTCGTTACTACAAGAAAACAAAGAAGCTTCCTCCAGTGTGGAAGTAGTAAGTTGCCGTTCATTCCTTTCCCAATTCAAATATGTTTGTACATCTGCGCCTTATTCTATCTGTAAATTTGTTGAATCTTGTGTCCTATATGAATGTTTTATCGAGTTAATATCATCGAGATGGAGTCTTTTTAGCTAAGTTTTTGAAACGCAGACTGAGTTATTGCAAGGTATAAGTTATTGCACGGCCCTAAAAAATGCATAGTTTATACATTTTGCTGTTATCAACATCCAGAAGAAAGATTTCTTTGTTTTGGGTTATTGCTCTAATATACTGAAAGTTTGCTACCATGGTAATTGTTCTTCATTTTGGTTATTGTTCTATTGTAGCGAAAGTCACTCTATTGTTTTCTGTTAGCCTTGGAATCAGAATTAGAAATGAAAAATTAAAAAGAATGTGAGGCTACTGATGGATAACATTACATGGTTGGCCATTTATGCCAAAGTGATAATGTTACTTGATTGAATTCTTTTTCAACTCGGTCCCTCAACATAAATGTGTTCATCATTTGTTTCTAGGTGGTTTTCTTGAAATCTTTCCATAAATTCTTCTGCTGACTTCATCGTGGTCATTTTGTTTTGTAGTGAATCAACAACTGCCAGCACTCTTGTTGCTTAGGTTAGCTATGGTTAACTCGGTCGCAGTTTTGGATAGCATGGATTACTACAATGGACGGAGAAGATGATTTTCTTTTTATTTCTGAATGTGGAGCTTTATAGTTCATGAATGTTGGGATGTATTGTTCTGCTTTTTCGAATCTTGATGGAGGAGAGCAGGAGAGCATGAAACATAATTTGTATCTGACTTGAGATGTCTACTTCTTTTTGCTCATCGTGTTATGAATTGTCTGAAAAACCTTGGCAAAAGCAAACGTTTAGTCTTAACTAAATGGTTGAACCTATTTATGTTTTAATTTACATTGGAAGACGGAGTTAGTGTTTACATTTACAGCTACAAGAATGAATTGCAAGAATACAAATTTAGTTTAGTACAATAAGTTGATGCACCAAATTTAATAAAATAATTTGTCAATGTTAAATTAGAGCGGCCCGAATTGACTGAACTAGATGTAGACGCAAGTCATTCTTATTATGCTGGATTCTATTAACAATTCTTGGTATTATGAAGGTCTGTTTTTTATGATTCGAGTTTTTAATTCGGGTTGAGATGTGATTTTATGTAGTAAAATTTGAATTTTAAACTTAAATCGGTAAAATGAACGGAGTTTAAATTATAAAAAAAAATGCTTGGCACTATAAATTGTGAAAAAATAATGGCTACTAGTGTGATGCTTTAAGTTTTATTACAGAATGGGAAAAAAGCGTTATACTTTTACGTGAATATCTTATTCTAATTCTATATGAACGTTCTATGTATCCTACTACCATTCAAATGAGCATTTTTATGTGAACTAGAGAAATACTTTCATTTTAAATCTAATTTTCATATTAAAGATGTACAGGTAAATACTATAGACCTTAAACCCCGGTTATTTTATCAATTCGAGTTTAAAATTTGAGTTTTATAGTAAAAAAATTCTTAAATATAGCTATATCTAATTTTTTTATTATAGTAAAAAACTCACATAAAATTACATATAAATTTAAATTAAAAACTCAAATCAACGAACTAAACGTAACTCTTAATTTACCCCACATTTACTTCAAGACTCTTCAAATAGACGGTTTGTGTAATTCCAAAAAAAAAAAAAAAAAAAAAAAAAAAAAAAGGTCCAAAAAGAGGGGTTTTGTAAATAAAAAAAAAAAAAAAAAAAAAAAAAAAAAAAAGAGAGAGAGAGAGTACGTGTGATTATCTCCACTAATTTTCCCCAATTCTCTTATTATCGACTATCGAGAAAATGCGCTGATTCCACATTATTAAAAAAAAAAACAAAACAAAACAAAGAGCGGTAATTGAAATTTCGCGCTTTACCATAACCCCTCAAAACCCTAAACCAGTATCAGTATAATAACAAAAGCTCAATTGGGCATATTAGCAGAGAGAAGTTTGGTAAAAATCAACGTTTGTGGAAGCAAAAGGAAAGAAAGAAAAATGGCGGTGGGGATCACAGGGTTCACTGAGAGAGTCGGAGAGGGTGCCGGAGAACCAGTTCTTGATGCTGAAAATGGGGAGGAGCTGATGCATGTTCAACGTGGAGTTTCTATTGTTCTCGGCAATCGACCTCCCGAATCCCCAGGCACTCTCTACATCTCCACCAAGTAACCCCTTTATCTTATCTTTCCCTCTCCTTCTCTTTCGCTGCCAGAATGTCACGGATACTTATTTCATTTTGGAACTTTGAATTCTTTATTTTAATTTTTTTTTGTTTTTTTTTGGTAATTTTTTGCTGAGTTCAGTTCGCTATTTATGGTTAGTGATCTCTTCGTTAATTGATTCTTCTGAAATTGTTCCTTGCACTGTGGGAAGTTATTCTGCTAAGATTTTTTAGAAAAAAGGAAAAAAAAAAATTGAAACTTGCTTTCCCTGTTTCTCTACTGAAAATATGAGGAGCGACCAAAAGAATTGTAACTAATAGGCTAGAGTCATATACTCTGATTTGATGAAGAAACACGCAGTTTTTTTCATGTATTATGCTAAATATTTTACCTGTAGTTTGATTATTAGACATTAAAAAAAAACTTAAAATTTTCATCTGGAACAATTGCATTTGAATGCGCCGATGGGATTTTGCAGGAAAGTTGTTTGGCTGAGCGATGTCGACAGGGCAAAAGGGTATGCAGTGGATTTCTTGTTTTTATCGTTACATGCTGTATCCAGGGATCCAGAAGCCTATCCTTCTCCTTGTATATATACTCAGGTATCAAGTTTGTATTTATCAATCTATTTTTTTAAAAGTTATATCTGAGCCCTGTTGAGGTTGTGATCTTGATTCCATTAGAAGCAGAGTTTGCAATAAGCTAGACTGTTACTTTCGCGTTGCGGAGAGTCGGAAACTTGGAAAGCCAAAGGTCCTTGTTTGATTTGTATGATGTATAACATCGTAGCCAATCAAGTGAAAAATCCCTGGTGTAGATAATGATATCTGAATACAGAGAGTCGGAAACTTGGAAAGCCAAAGGTCCTTGTTTGATTTGTATGATGTATAACATCGTAGCCAATCAAGTGAAAAATCCCTGGTGTAGATAATGATATCTGAATACAGAGAGTCGGAAACTTGGAAAGCCAAAGGTCCTTGTTTGATTTGTATGATGTATAACATCGTAGCCAATCAAGTGAAAAATCCCTGGTTTAGATAATTATATCTGGATATAGCTCTTTTTGGTTGAACCCCAAAGTTCCAAAAACTGACTGTTTGGTGATTAATGTGGTGGTTGCACTGTGTGCGTTAGTAGATTCAAGGACTTCGTAACCTGTATGTAAATACATGTAAGATTAGTTTCTTGATGATGAATTGACCTTTTTTGTTTAATGTGAACTTTTTTTCTCTTCTATTTTGGGGGAAAGATTGAAACAGGAGATGATGAGGATGAGTCTGGGGACTCAGATTCTGAGTGCAATGGAGCCGCCCAAGATTTATCCAAGATAACGGAGATGAGGCTTATTCCTTCAGACGCCGGCCAATGTCTCTCTCTCTCTCTCTCTCACAAACACACACACACACACATGCAGCACACACAAACGAAGATACAGTTTAAAGATTGTCACCATGCTATTTATTATAAAATTTGGTTGCTGTCTTGATGGTATATTGGTTTCTTATCCGTTTATCTGATCTTATGCTTCAAAGGTTGTGATATTACCATTCTATCATTTCTGGTTTTCTAGTACCTTCTCTTCTTAATGGGGATGCATAAAATGTATTATCCTTTTCTCTTCTACAGTGGACCGCTTGTTTGAGATATTCTGCGAGTGTGCAGAGCTTAATCCAGAACCCATTGAAGGTTAGAACAATTTTTTTTTTTTTTAAAGGAAAGTTTTGTAGAATATTTTTCTTTGAAGTTGAATTTAGTAGCTTTTGCTTCTAATTCTTTCACTAATATGCTACTCGTTTATGCCTTCTTTAGGAGAAGAAGAAGCGCATAATTGGATTTTTAGTGCTGATCGGATTGGAGATGAAGTTGCAGGTATGATTAAAGCAGCTAACACTTATGGCTTCTGGCATGTACTTATGGTGAATGATAATTTTGTTTGAATTTGGTATTTCTAGAAGGGGAAGATCCTGATTGGATTATGTCTCAAAATCCAACAAGCACAATTGGTCAATCTAATGGGGATCATGACTTAGCACGTACAGTGCTAGAGGTACGCCCGTGAAATTGCATTTTAAGCTGCTGCTTAATTTTCTTTTGGATGTGTTCTATACTAATGGAAAATGCGTCACATTGGTATCTTAGGTCTTCTGTAACTTATGCTGTAGTTACTACGAATTTAGACGTGAGATGCACTAATCTTACAGGACTTAAATGGTAGTGATAATCTAACGAATGTATATGGCTTAGAATTGCAATCGAAAGTTTTATTTTTAAGCTGTAAACTACGAGCCGGTTACTTTTCAAGGAGAGCCAGGCGATTTAATCTGAAAATGGTGGAAGACTGAAGTAATCATTGATCACCTTTTTGTAAATATTGCAGCTTCAGATCAACGATCAGCGATTTGAGGATGCAGAAGAAATGGGGCATGATGTCAACAGTGGCCACCGTTGAGCTTGTTCTCCCTTTTCTTTCTTCACATCTTCGGGTGTTGCCATTAACCAGTGTCCATCTTGTTTCTTTTGTGGTTCCGAGTCTTTTTGTATATGTGAAACATTATCTTCAAATACTTGGCCCAGGAGCATCGTCACATTAGGACTTATAAAGTCATTTTGCTTCTAACCAGTTTGTGTATTGCTGTTATCGGAATTATTATTCGTGGTAACCGAATTTTCTCATAACTTTTTAGACAAATATGTTAGTTATTATTATGCCCAACCCAAAAGAACATACTTGACATGCATAACCTTTTCAGGCAAATTAAGGAGAAACTTAGGAAATATGTCATCTTTTCATCCTTTTAGTTGTGTTATTCTGCTTGAATTCTGCCCCTTTAAGTTAGTATGCAATGAGAGAAGCAAGGATAAAAATCTTTTTTAGTGTTTAAGAAATGACAAAAAATTTTATCCTCTCTTAATAGAAGGGCATTCTTCTAGATTATTCTTAGTTAAATCATTTCAATAGAATTCGTTTTAAAATGATATTATTTTTTATATGAAAATAAAAATAAAAATATTTTTAATTTCAGACAGAAATTATTTTTAAAAATGCGTTTGGTAGTTTTATCAAGAGATTGTTTGTGTAAAAAAATTCATTAATGTCTCTTTGCTCGAGAGAGGAGAAAATGAAAACAAAAAATAAAAAACGATTAAAAGTTATTTTTCATTTCTCTCTCATTTTACGTTAAACTAAAAAATTGTTTTCATTTCTGTTTTTTATTTTTATTGCGTCAAATGCGGTTTTGAAAACGTTTTCATTTTTTTTTTCCTCAAAAAACATGAAAAATAAAAAAGGGATCAATTCCAAACACGGCCTTTAGTTTTTTTTTTTTTCTTCCCTCTCTTTCTCTTAATCAGAAAATCGAAGCGAGTAATATCTTCTTATTCATTTAAACTTTTCTGCGTTGTTGTTTTAACTTTTAATTCGAGTTAATTTCACTAATGAACTTTGAATTGCAACTAGTTCAATTTTAGTCCCTGATTTGTCACTTTTACATGCTAAAGAATTACCCTAATCTATAAGGACGTAATACAATTGCTTAGTTTGGTATTGTTTTTCCATCTCAACATCAGTTTCTACTTGTAGCAAAAGCTGATTTTAGTGTTGGTAAATCTCTTTAAAAGTGTTTTTTGAAGAACTTTTTAAGAATTTACAGCCAAAATCAGAACCAGTTTAAAGACAACTTTAGCTTTTAGATTGTGCAAGAATCAGCATAGTACAATTAATAAAACTTTCATAATACTCATAATACACCTAATGAAATTTAAAATTTACAATCTTCCAAATCTAAAATTCAGACTCATAATATAATATAATAGTAATATAATAGTAATATTGTAACAAATAATATCATAAATATATTAATAACTCTAATATTATTATTTTATTCAATAATATGATGTTATTATAATATTATAATTATTTTAATAATATGATATTATAATTATAATATAATATTGTAATTATTATTTTATAATATATTATATATCATATTGTATTGATATAATTATATTTATTATATTAATAATAACATAATAATTAATATAATTAAATATTAACATAATCTTATAATTATAATATTATTATATATTATAGTGTATTATATTAATAATAATATATTTGTTTATGTCGTTTACACTTTCTTGTTGTTTTATACTTCATTGTCGTTTCAGACTCCTCGCTCTACATCTTGTTGCCGTATACTCTTTTTGTTAATTTATACTTTTTTAGTGGAAATTGGATTGTTTCTATATCTATATCTACACAATCTCCTAAAGGATAAACATATTTTGGGGGAGGCCGTGTGAAACAGTCGTAAATGAATCTGCTATCTACTTAATTTAGTTTCATAAATCTACTATTTACTACAAGTTTCCTTCTTTCAACCCTGATTAGTGGTAAGCGGGTAACCCAAGTCTCTATGGACCAAGCTTATGTACATATGAGTGAACATCATATTCAGCAATATCTTCTTCTATGTGTAAAATAGGCTTAAAGTGTCCAGAAAAGTAATACATTTCAAAATGTCAATCCTTAAAAAGTGATGTTCCTCAAATTCACCTCTTGGATTTGGAAGATCACTAACTGATCTATGTCTTTTGGGCTTGTTCAGTATTTTAAAGTGACATGCTTTAATCTGAGAAAGATAATATTAGCATTATTCTCTTTTGTTTTCAAATAATAATACAAATAAAAATATCAGTAACTATGAACAAAAAACTGTTCATTAAAAAGAAAAAAAAAGAAAAGAAAAAGACCGCCGTCACTAAGAGATGAAAGTTGCAGCAAAATTAGCATTAGATTCTGAATGTTGTGAGAATTATATTCCTCGTTCCTTTAGCGTCTCAGAAAGATTAAAGAATACTAAAATTTTATTTAGAGTGCGTTTAGTTACAATGGGAGAATGGTAATGGGAATGGGAATAAAAATGGTAATGTGAATGAAATGGAAAAGAAAGTTGATTCATTTATTTGGTTGTAATTTTAAGAATTCTCTGGAATGGAACTTGACATACTTACCCTTATGCTATATATAACACTAATATTTTATCTATCAATATGATATATAAAATGTAATATAATATAATAAACTTATTATTATATAATATATTATATAATTATGATATATAATATAATAATA